GTGCATCCCGTATCTAGAAGGGTGCATCGGCCAATGGGGCTCAAGCCATGCCAATGGGGATGGGGATCGGTTTGATGATTTAGCATAAAGGGAAGCGGGTCCCGAGGGAAACGGGTCCTGGATCCTGGGGCCTTCCCCAAGGACGACTTCATCCCGAATCTCTGTCTGACAGCCCCGGGGCACGTGGAGGGCCCAGGGAAGCCAAGAGTGGGGAGAAAAACCTCAGGACCCGTTCCTGTCAGGACCCGAGTCCCCCCTGGCGACCAAGTGTCGGGAGCGGCCAAGAGAGGGGTGTCCAAGAGGGGGGGCGCAAATCATGGCTGGCGGTATGTGCGCGGCCCAGGAGGGGGGGGGGCAGGGACGTACTGAAACAAGAAGAGGCGCCATGAAATCTGGGGAGATACCAAGGCACCCGCCATGATATCTACATCCCCCCTAGTCATCCCACCCCCCTTTGCCGCCCCCGAACGGTCCCCCACTCGAAGGCCCTCGGCGCTGGCTGGGAAGCCTCCTCCAACACGGGCCCCGCCGAGCACGCTGGATCTCACGATGCCGCGCCGCTGCGCGGCCGATGCACGGGCGACGCTCGGGCTACAGCACCCCAAGCCCGACGTCATGTTTCTTGTCGCTACAGTCAGCAAGGGCCTTGGAATGCCATGTCGACACTCTGCGGGCGGGGCGCGCGAAAGCGGCCAAGGATGGGCCGAATGGGAAGGATGCAAGGGCAACCTTGGAAAGTCGCTCATCCTTACTATGCGGGTTTACTGCCGACCCCCAGAGATCTCGACAAACGGGGCTCCGAGCACGCTGGGCCTTACGGATGCGCCGCCGATGCACCGCCGATGCGCGGGCGACGCTCGGGCAACAGAAGCCCAAGCCCGACGTCCTGTTTTTTCGCTACAAGCGGATCTGGGACATACTAACATCCCTCGAAGACACGAGACCCTCCGCCGGCCAAAACTCTCAGAGCATCCGAGGGTACCCTCCCCCCAAGATGCACAAAAACATCCAACAAACACGAAGAACATTAGGGTACCCTCCCCGAACCGACCTCGATCTTATACTCCAATCCGACTGTACAGAAGCCTAAGCCCGACATCATGTTTATTTCGCTGCGTCGACCCCCCAAAATCTTGACCCGCTTCCTGGGGCCAACTTTTCATCCTGCATCGTCTCCGTGACGGTGCCGGCGAAGGCCCCCCGAGGCCGAGAATAGCGAGACACCCTCCGTCATGTGTGTTTTCACGACGTCTGGGAATGCGCCGCATCGCGGACGCACCGGCGATGCGGCGCGATCCCCAGACGGAGCACTTCTCTGGAGGAGGAACAAAATACGCCATAAACAGAAACTTTTGGCGCTCCGCGCGGATTTCGTGGATCCGCGCTGAACCCCCCTCCCTGGCGCGCGGAGCGCGGAAAGGGCGTCGCCAGAGGCGCCACCGGTGGGGATCCAAGAAACTCGCGCGGAGCGCCAAAAATTCACGTTTACGGCGTTTTTTCTCGGAACCCGCCTGGGAGACCCAGAGGCTCGCCCTCTTTTGGGCAGCCGACCCCCATGCCGCGCGCGCGAAGCCCTGCGGACGCCACTGGCCACCCCACGGGGCACCCTGGCCGTCACTCGGGGCCCTATGGACGGGGACTTTTGATACAGTGGAGGCCAGACCACAAGAAACGTTCCATTCAAAACCCAACCCTGAGACCCTAGGACGTCCACTGATTTCTTGTGGGGACGTAGCGCCTTCCACAGCAGAACCCTCGAGACCCAAGTAACCCAGGGCACCCTGGAGGCAAGAAGGGTGTTTCTTGGCATGGGCTTCCACTGTAAATCGCCCCACGGGCGCCCCCTGGCCGTCACTCCGGGCCCCATGGACGGGGACTTTGATGAACCAGGACGCTGGCGCGCACGAGAAAGCTGCAGCTGAGGGTGGAACCATTCGTCCTTCGTTTTCTTCAGCTGGAGCTTCAAATTCCTGGTGCCCAACACTACAGGCCAGGGCAAGCCGTCGCGCAGGGCCCCGGCCGTCATCACACAAAGGACTTCGACCCAATGCGCCAATGGCTGGCGGAGAGCACGGACAGGGGGGGTATTGGAAGCCCCCAAACCAGGTGGTGAGATATCAGATGGTGACCTGGAACCCCCATGAAGTCACTGCTGGGTTTTGGAACACGGGGGCACCGCTGGGTTTCTGTAAATCCTGGACCCACCAGCGCTCGAAACATCCTCGAAAAATCACACGAGTCCCCAAACCGGATGGTGACACCAAATCGCCCGAGACTCACCGTCAGGTGTTGTCACCACCACGTGAAGTCTACCAAGGGCAGGGGGAGGGGGAAGGCTTCTCAGAAGGAAGCTGCTCATTAGAAGGCGAGGGCCCTTCGCCTGCAGACAAGGCCCGCTCCTTCTGACAAGCAAGGATGCTTCTAAGAAGCCTTCCCCGCTCCCCTCACTCCCCCGTGCGCGTTGCCGAACTTAGAAGAAACAGCGCCACAAACAAAAACTCTTGGCGCTCCGCGCGGATTTCTCGGATCCGCGCTGGACCCCCCTCCCTGGCGCGCGGAGCGCGCCAGGGGCGGCGCCGGGGGGGGCACGGCGCGGATCCAAGAAATCCGCGCGGAGTGCCAACAGTTTATGGTTACGGCGTCTTTCTTCTTCGAGGAATGACCTGGGATAGTCAACTCTCAGGCGGATAGGGGGGGATGTTTTATCATGCGGGGCGCTCGGTTGGCGAAGCAGCAGCTGCCCCGCGCGCGCACGCCCGCGCGCCCGCCCGCGAGCCCGCACGCACCCCCACGCGCTCACAGTGTCCGTGCCCGCCCCGCGCGCCCACGCGCCCATGCGCGTACGCGAGCGCCCGCGAGCCTGGGAAGCACTGCGTCGGAGATGCGCGCACGCTTGTGGCTCACGTCTTGGGAACGGGTCGGACAGCGCTCCCCGGACACGCGGCAACCTCCAGCAGGCCGCTGCAAGGATGCCTGGCCGGCAGCCGTGGAGAGGGAGCTGGCCTATCCCTGCCTGCCAGCTTCTTCTCTAAAACTCTCATAGCTCTCTTAAGGTGCTATCCGGGAGCGTAACATGCCCCTCCGTTGGCCTGGCCAAGATATCGGCGAACTCGTGACCAGTCGGCGCCCCTCCGACCCTCATGACTTTTATTCTCGTCCTCGTCCTCCTCCTAAGGAGGGCGTAACATCAGGCGGGGCGGAGGGAGGGGGGGAGGCGGGACCGAGCAGAACGCCCTGGAGCGCCCGAATACCATCCGCCCCACCCCCCCTCATGCTCAGTCGTTCCTCCATCCTCTCCGCTGCTCTCACAGGGGGAAGATCAGAGCTGGTGCAGTGGGGCGTCCAGCGTGAGCTTCTGCTGACGCGCCCGATCCCTTCAGCTAGAATTCTAGGTCGCGCCCGTGCTGGCTGTTCGAAACACTGAGATATATGTTGGCACGGCTTCAAAGAAACGAATGGCACATGTCTAGGGGTGGGATTTTCAAAGTTGCTTCGAAAACAAAGGCACAACGCCAACGTCAACACTGTTTCGACTACGCCACCGAACACACACACACACAAATAATCAAATAAACAAACAACTACATACATGATACCAGAGAAACGCCCCAATCACAGTCTTTTTGGGGCTAAAGGGCTATGGGGCTATTGGGCTATAGTGCGATGGGACTATGGGGCTGTAGGGCTATGGAACTATAGGGCTATAGGGCTATAGGGCTTTAGGGCTCTAGGGCTATAAGGCTATAAGACTACGGGGCTATAGGGCTATAGGGCTATGGGGCTTTAGGGTTATAAGGCTATAAGGCTACAAGGCTATAAGACACCTGGGCACCCAGGCGGGCCGCGGAAATCGGTGACAAACCTCACCGAACCATATGAATCCGCTAGGACCCCTACAGAGGCAAGCTCTGATTGGGGAATCTAATTACGTACGACAGGTTCGTGCCGCGACGACTTGTGCGTTGGTTTCTGACAGTACGTGGATCGTTCGATAGCGCACATCGATCAAAGTCCGATAGCGACCACGATCGCAGATCGTTCGATCGCATATCGTTTGCGATCGTGTTTAGTAATTGCTCGATTTCTTCAACCACTTGAGAATCAACCATAGTGGTCCTACCAGTATTGTTGACGTAGAACAGTACGGGTTTCAGCGCGACTTCCGACAACGCATATCGTTCGATGTCGGCCGATTCAGGGCCGCCAGCGGCATTCAACCTTGAACGCCCGCGCCGAGGCCCAGCCGCGTCCACATGACGCGAACATGCCGTAATCACACTACCAAGATACACCGACATCTTCTAAATAGCAAGCTCCTGGACGTTCCAGCTTCTGGCCCGTCGGGTCGGACGAAAGGGGCGGTTAGTAAACAAGGAGTTTGCGAACCGGCTCTTGTAGCTGGGATCGGGAGGCGCCAATACAATTATCGAGGACAGCGCCCGGCAGCAGGGCCGAAAATAGCTGCATGCAGCAGATTTCGTACCCCCTCCTTTCCCTATCCCCCTTTTTCGTCCTACCCAAGCCCAGGGCGGACTGAGTCGATGGGAACTCCAGGGAGCAACTGTGAGCGGCGTGCGCATCCCCCGATTCCCTCAATGTACTTTTCCGCGGAAGGTGTGCAGGTTGCTCAGAGCAAACACTGAACGCAGCGTGCGCATTTCTTGGACATCCATAACGGTTTCTGACACCGCCTGGCTCGTTCAATCTTGAACGATCGCGGCTCCCGACAGCACAGATCGTTCGATGTCGGACGATTCGGGGCCATTGATGGCGTTCACCATTGACCGCCAGCGATGGCGTCGCCGACGCGTCAACGCGACGCAAACCTACCGTAATGGGTTGGGGAGGTGTCAAGCAGGATACAGCTTAGTCACGAATTGGGCTAAAGACGTCCTGATTGAAGCGCGAGATCACATCCGCTGGTTATTCTAAACGTCTCGCCTGATCTTACAAAAGGTGAACACCGACATCTGCCGCTTCTGCCGCGTCCCGAGGCGGACGTCCTTGGCCACCTGGCGGACCTTCTCCAAGGTCTCAAAGCGCTCGGTGTTGTCCTGGCGGCGAAGCGGCTGGGCCTCCTCTCCTACAAAGACGCAAACCTGTTGAAGCAAAAGCTTTCGGATATCTGCGCGGAGTTCTGCGGTCGGCGCTGTACCCCTCCCTCCCGACGCTCCTTACCTAGAGGCCTCCTAGATGGAGTCCGAGTAGATGGGGTCGGAGGATCGCGCCTCATCGCCAATGCATCGGCGATGAATCGGCGATGCATCGGTGACGCACCGGCGATACATCGTCGACGCCAGCGATGCATCGGCGACGTCGACTTGAAGCAAATCGGGCCCCACATCGAGCCGCATCGGCGATGCATCGGCGATGCGGCGCGATCCTCCGACCCCATACTCCTCCGACCCCATCCAGGAGGCCCGGAGACGCTCCTTCCCTCTCCCTCCCCAAGCGCGCGCGGTGCGCCGTGCGCCGGAGCGTGGCGCCCGACGCGCCTCCCAAGGGTTGCAGGGAGGGGCCGCCGGCGCCAACCCAGGACGTGTCCCCGCGGGCCTGCCGCAGCGGAGCTGTGCTCCTGGGACTTTGCAAATGCCGTGCCCTGCGCTTCGTAGCGAGCGCTGGGGTGTGTGCCCCACACCTGGGGCAACCTCGCCACGCCGTCGCACGTCGTGGCACCGCGCCAGGCGTCCGAGCGCCTTCGGCGCGCGGAGGTTTTTAGGGGGGCCCAGGGACACACAAATAAATTGACACAAATCCCACAATTCCCTGTGTGTCCAAATATTTTCTGGGTTTTTGGCTTCCCCCCACTTCCCATCTGTTCCAATCATTCACTGGGGGTCGATGATATGAATTGTTTCTGTGTCTTTTGCCCCTCCTGCGTTTTCTGCGACGGGGGTCGACTACGGCTTGTCGGCGGGGGATGCCCCCCCACCCAACCGCCCATGTCTTCGCACGGGGGAAACATGTCCTGAGGGAAACGGGTCCTGAGCCCCAGGGCCTTCCCCCAGGACGAGTTCTTCATGATGGGCCGTTTTCTGACGGTCCTGGGGCCCGTGGAGGGCCCCGAGGGCCCGAATCTGGGGGAACAACCTCAGGACCCGTTTCCCCCATGGCGACCCCAGGCGCCCATGTCAACACTCGGAGCGCTCTCCTCGCGCTCCGCCCCGCCTCCTGTGCCGCCCCGCCCTTCCGCCCGCGCCGTGCACGGGGGAGGGGCGGCATCCTCGCCGAGAGCGGCCTGGAGCGACTGATCGACCTTTGCGACGAGCTCGGCGATGCCCTCGGCGGCGGGGGCGGCCGGGGCGCGGCGGGGGCAGGGTCCGAGAGTGCGGAGGGGCGCAGGAGGCGCACCCGGGGGGCCCCAGGAAGCTCCGCGGCCCCGCGAGCCCCAGCCCCAGGAGGCACCTGGAGGCTCCAGGAGGTCTCAGGACAGGCTCCATGGAGATTCGCGGGAGCCCCACAGGACCCCACGAGGACTCAGAGAGCTCCAGCGTCCGCGTACGCAGCATGCTATTCACCCGAACAAGGCATGGCCTGGCCGCCTCTCGGAGACTGTCACGGCGGGGCGCAGCTCAGGCTTTCGCTTGCGCGCTCTCCTGGTATGAAGATCGAGCGTGATGGCGTGCGTCAACCCAACGTTTACCAGCGCAGTGCTGGTGATCGTATGAACTGCACAACTTGGAGCATTCGAATTCACTGCTGCACGCACCCTTCCACACTGCACGATCTCCACTGCCACAACCACTTGATCATCACATCGAGCTTGGTTTGACACACCCGCGAACAACCCCCCATGGCTTGCCTCGGACCCTACAGACCGCGCAGGCGGATACGTGGCGAAACTGTTGTTTCCTGGCCCATCTTGGAAATTCCACCAGCCCTCTGGGCGAATGTGGCCAGTCAGGGTTCCACGGGGGGGTAGCCCAGCTGGACGCTCCAGAAGAACGACAGGGCGGGGATGGGGGCAGAATCTAGAACACGCGGAGATGCGCGCTGGGAGGGGGGGAGCTCTCGCGATTTTTTCGCGGCGGTGACGGCGCTTCCACTTCCAACCCCTCTCTCCCCCTTCGGTGAAGGATTTACCCCTCCCCTTACCATGCCCCTCCTGGTCTGGACAGGGCGCCCCGCGACCGATCGGAACGTCGAGGTGGCTCTAATTAAGGGAGCTGAAGGACCCCCCATCTGACCTCCAACGTGATACAACAAATCCCGGCCAGAGACATCTCTGGCAGCACACGAGCCAGGCTCCCAAGGGCAGAGTGCCGAGAGGTGGCTGCACAGCGTCGCCTTGGCCAGGCGCTCCGGGGGCACAAGCGCGGCCGAGAGCGTGGGGGCGGAGGGCTCGTCGTCGAAATCGTCCAGGCCCGGCGGCGCAGCGACCTCCCCGCGGGCACAACCGCGCGAGCTCAGGAGGGCGGGGGGCCGGGGGGGGCAGTGACACGCCCCGTTTCGCGCCGGCGCCGCCCAGGGATGTCTAAGAGCTTTTTGTTGTTCACCCCGGCAAGTTTACATGTATGGACGGGGGGGGACCTGAACCAGAAGCAAGCCGCAAATCTAGGCCTCTTAGATGGGGTCGGAGTAGATGGGGTCGGAGAATCGCGTCCGACTGTACTCGACTTCTTTCGACGGGACGCATGCGGCCCGCCGGGCGGCCGTGCTCCACAGGAGCGCACAGCAAGCGCCTCTCTCGCCGAAGTGGGCTCGGGCACTCGTCCGAGCCCGCTGGCGCGCACGGGCGCCCGTCGTTCTCGCGGCCCCTATTGAAAACAAAAAATAGTTTTGAAAATGTACATTCAAGTTCAAATCAATGCAACCCTCTCTCTCTATTTCATGGATATTGGCCCGCCCCTCCTGCAGGGAGGCGGCTTGCTCGCGATCCCGCAGGACGCGAGGCATGACCTCAACTTCGTCTCGACCGGTCCGCTCCCTGCGGCACGCGGCCGAGGCTCAAGAGACGGGGGTCAATGCATACGGGGGTTAGCCAGAGCGCCGGATTTTGCAGGATGTCGCATTGACCCGGGTTTGGGCGCAGGATCTTGCAGGATCTTTTGCATCGACCCAGGTTTGGGTGCAAGATCTCGCAGGATCTTGCAGGATTCTGCAAGTCCTGGCTGACCCGGGTCTGGATTGACCCGGGTCAGAAGATCCCCGACGTGGAATTGACTAATCTCCACGTTCTTGTTGCTGGATGGCATCTGGCGCGTAGGTCCCACCACCAGGAACGGCTCCACGCAGAGCACTTTCACATGGATGGCGCCTCGGAGCTCTGGGCCAACGGACCTCCCGACCCTTTGCTAGTAAGGCCCCAGCGGCTGACCCTTGTGGACGAAGACTCGGAGCCTTCCGCGGCTTTTGGCTGGGCCCGTGTCGCTCCCCTGCGCCTGCTTTATCATGTCGCGCCGATTGGCAAGAAGGTGCGCGCGCCAGGTCCCGAGCGTGTGAAGTTCTCGAAGCGAGAGTAGAACTGTGGACTCGCACGCTCTCGGGCTGTGCCGGACTCGGATGCTGTGGGCAGCACCTTGTTACCCCAGGCATACCCAGGAGTCCAGCTGCCGCTCCGACGATCCGTCTTCCAAAAGCTCTTAGGTCGGGCACCGCTTCACCTGTCTCGCCCGACGTCGGCAGGGACCGCGAGCATGTCCTATTGGTCCGCCCTGGGCAGATCTTCAGCGCACGCAGTCCAGTCACCACAGGGCCTTAGAAGTTGACTCGCCCTGCTCAGCGGGCTACTCGATCAGGCCCAGGGCAAAGCCGCAGACGTAGCTGACCCTCGCAAGTCTACTGCGCGTGTCGACGCTCCGCCGCGGGCTCCGCATGAAGACACCGTCCCCAACACATAGGAGTAGCTTCAGCTTCACGTACATCGCCGCTGAACCGAACACCTGAGCGTCGGCCCGATACCATCGGGAGTGCTCCAGCACGCAACCTCTGATTCAATTCTCGATCATCATGAGTTCTTCCGTCGCGTTCATACCGGCTCCTCCGTTAGCGGCGTCGCACGGGCGCTCGAAGGCTTGGAAGAGATGATCGTCTTTGCATGTTCCTGATCGGTCTGGCACCGGACCAGCCGGCGTCCTCTGGTCGAGTTGGATCCTCGCGCTCCTTCTCCGTCGCTCAACCTTGGCGCCATTGGCTTGGGGATGCGGAAGGGCGCGATGTGCAGCTTGTCTTAGCGCTGTGCAAGTGGATCGTCGATCTCGCGATCTCCCTGCACGTTTGTCTCAGGAGGAGAAACACACACACACACAGACACAACTAATCGTCGACTCCCAAGAAAATATTAGAAAATATGGAAATATGGGACGAGGGGGGAAGACGGAAACGAAGAAAATATAGGAAAATATGGGGAATCTTTGGATTTGTGTGCATTTTTTTGCTAGCCACCTCATTAAGACCCACCTATGAGGAGGAGGAGGAGGAGGAGGAGGAGGAGGAGGAGGAGGAGGAGGAGGAGGAGGAGGAGGAGAGGGATAAGGAGATACGAATGCAGGGAGGAGGAGAAAAAGGAGGAGGAGGATTATGAGGAGGACGTGGAGGAGAAGGAGGACGAGGAGGAGGAGGAGGAGGAGGATGAGGAGGAAGAGGAGGAGCATACGAGCTGCGCGGAGAAGGAAGGAGGAGGAGGATAAGGGGGAGGAAAGGGGAGGGAGGATGATGAGGACAGACAGAAGGAGAAGAGGAGGAGCAACTGATGTCTTGGTGATTTGTCACGACCCTCACGTCGGGCGCAAGTATGCGGCGGCATCCGTTCGCATGCCAGACGTCCATGAGCATCCTCGGGTGTCAGGGTTAGATATCTTGCGAAGTTTCTTGTGGCCGAGTCCCTACTGTAACCGTTGTGTCAGTGACTGGCTTCTGCCAATTTGCGGGCGTCACTCTCTGTATGATTGTGGACTGACCCTCTGAGGGTGTTAATTGTATTCTATCCATCGGTGCTCTCAGGTCTGGGGCCGTCGATTGGGAGATGGTGTGGAGCAGGAGCAAAGGGAGAAGGATAAGGATGATCGAGAGGATGCGTGTGGAAGGGAAGGTGAGGAGACAGTGAGGAGGAGGATGAGAAGGAACCAGAGGAAGATGAGGGTAGGAATGAGGAGAGGGAGGAGGAGGAGTAAGAGGTGAGGATGAAGGCTGAGGAACAGGCGGAAGAGAAAAAATCCAGAGGGAGAGGGGTGAGGAAGAGACGTGGAGAACAATGGGAGCATGATGATGAGGAAGAATTGATTCGTTCACTCTTAATGTATTCTTTGCACAGACTGCTGACCCATAGTCTCAATATTCCGTTGGCCATTTGCACGTAGCCGTGTTGGCTTTAAATGTGTAAGTTTCTTTTGGTTAGCCTTGTAGACGGCTCGTTGCGACAATGCCTGCGTCCTCGGAGGAAGCACCCACAAACGAAGAGAGACATCTGCAGAAATCGCAAGCGAAATCGCAAGCGATCGGCAACGATCGGGAATTGGCTCAAGAACCCGTGGGTCAGGAAGCACCTCAAGCGAACAGCGCACATGCACATGACAAAATCCACGACACCGTGGGGGCTTTGAAGCAACGGCAGGCGGACCTCCTTGGGGAGCTGAAAACCAATATGGGAACCTGCGACCTGCGCCGTAACGTGTTCGCGCAGACGGCTGCTGCGGATCTTAACGTACACCATCACCACCCCACCAACGCACACTGCATTGCATTACGGAAGCAATCGAAAACAATAAACATAACAGAACTGACAAGACCAGCGGAGCGCTGCAGCGGTAACATTACAACCGTCATCTGCGCATGTAGGCGACGTAACAACAACACCAAAACAACCACCAGCAACCACAGCGCAACGGCAAACACCGAAACTTGTTGTTTCCCTACAGAACGTGGCCGAGAACGCGCGCAAGGCCTTCGACAGGACGAAAAGCAAGAACGACCACCTGCACAACCTGCTTGGCGAGGCTGACCGCGACCGCAACACGGCGAAACGGCCAGCGCACACTGTTCGAGCGCAGGGAAAACACGAGGGCGGGGCAGCCGCTTGGGCGGAGGCGGGCAATGACCACGACTGCTTGCGGACTGGGGTGGCAAGAAACGGTTCCCTTATTTGCCAACGAACGAGACGCGACACTCGCCCTGGCGAGCACCACAACGCAACCCGACCTTTCCTCTTGCTGATCCCCCATCAGGCGAAGTGCCGCGGCCTCTCCACGGAGAAGACCCGCCTCCCCCAGAATGCCTCCGAGGAGCAGCGAGGGTCCTTCTACAAGCTCGTCGAACGGCCGACAGGCCCCAGGCCGAGCGCCCGGGACGGGCGTGCGCTGCGGCACCCAGCATCCGTCGCTGCGGCAAACGACGACTTCAGGCCTGTGCCCGCGCGTGCAAGCCCAGACGAAAAAAGCGGAAGGAGGACATGATGGCGCGAGCCAGTGCCGAATGCAATCCGATTCTAATTGCAGAGGGACTTTCACTCTTGGGTGCTCTGTGGGTTAAGTTCAGAAAACAAGAGAAAATCACAAATCCGGCAGCAAGCCGGCGAGCGAGCGAACCCCCTGAACGTTAGCACCCCGATCGCGCGCCAGCACAGCACGAGGGACATCTTATATTGGATGCCCTTGTTTTGGACGAGCCGGTGCCGCTTCGAATTCTCGGAAAGGGATCGGCGCGGCCCCTGGTAATTTGAAACACGTAGTGGCCTTGCATTTTCCTTGGGCTTCTCGCGGCATCCCCGGGCTCGCGGGGGTTCGCGGATCTCCCCGGCGCCCCGTGGAGCTCCCCCCTGGCTTTAAGGGGGGGCGTCCTCGGCGCGTAGAGACGCCCTCGCAGCCATCGGCGGGCGCCAGGAGCCGCCCGCTTGCGATAGCCATCACGGCCGCGTCAGCTGCGCCAAACCAGCTAGCCGAAATGCTTTCGGATTTGGAATCGCCGCGCATTTTATGTTGTGGGTGGGCAGAAGAACGGGGCGAGGTTCGCCGCGTTCGAGCGAGCCAAAAACCGGGGGGCATCCGGTATGACATTTCTTCGCCGTCGAGGGTCGTTGCCGCCTCGCACATTCGAAAATAATTCCGCGGGGTTGGCCCGCCAGAGCAATCGCCTATTCATCGGGGCACGTCGCTGCTGTCGCGGCTGTCTGCAATTGCACGGCGCGCCGCGCATGCGCGTGGAAACAACGAGCCCACCGCGGCAACCGCGGCGAACCACGGGGCGTCGCGGGACGTCTCGGCCCTTCAAAATTCGCCACGGGACAACGACGGGTTAACTCACCGAAGTAGCAAATTCGCCTCGACATCGCATCCGCTGCTTCCGCAGGCGCGACCCACCCTGCGAAGCGACTCGGGTTGCGGACAGACTCTGAAAATGAATCGACGCCCGTCGTAAGTTTAGCGCGTCGGCTTTTCATCTTTCGC